ATATATATCCATCCATCCATCCATCCATCCATCCATAATTATTACATTATATTACTATAATGTACTATATATATATCTTACAATGAACTAATGTAATAATTATAGTATCATATACAGAACTTCCATATTCAAATGCAGTATACATCAAAATATTATGTTTGTGCTGCATGAGCATCCTAAAGGAATCTGACTGGGATCAGTCTTATTAATGAGCCATATTTTCAGCATAAAAGGAAAAAAACTTAATAATACCTTTGCTACTCTGTCATAAACCTCCATTGCCATAATCCATTTACATAGCCCTTCTGCTGCAGAAGATGCTTTAGCCACTTTGGGAGGATCAAATTCAGGATTAGTCAGATACTCAGAACGGATCTTCTGCATCACCGATACCTATATGAAACATACATTACATGCAAGTGAAATAGTGGATTCAGCAGTAACAATTCTCTAAATAATTTAGCTACTATTATTCATATACTACTGAGTAGCTATTATAATCAAGCTGTAATCTGCTCCCCTTGCTGGTGATCCGTATCTTGCCCTGGGCACATTTATGACAGGGATTAGTGGAATCCCCTGGCTTGTTTCTCTCCCCTCCAGTCATCAGCTGGCAGGAAAACATCTAGCAATCACTCTCAGTGTGGGAAGGGGCTTGGATTCGGGCTTTAAGGATATGGCAAGTTCTGACAGATGCCAGATGGCTCTGGTTTGGCACAAGATATTTTGCACAGGTGTATTCAAAAGGAGACTGACTATCAGCTCCTGGGCAGTGGCTTTGCCCTGTTCTGGAAGTGTTAAACCCATGTTCAAAAGAAGCCTGACATTCTGCTGATATCAGCAGATCAGTTCAGAAAGAACCAGCTTCATTTGCTCCCCAAACCATAATAGCTCTTGAAAACACTGCCCAAGAATTGAATGAGAGGGCACAGGACAGCACCAGTCTAAAGTGGCCAATAGATGCTTGGCTAATCCCATCCCTATGAGTCACCTGACTACACCAGAGATCAAAAGGTCAATGAAGGTATCACTGCACCCACAGCAAAATTACTGTAGCTTGCTGCCTCCTTAAATGAGAAAACATTACTTAAACAGTAGAACAGGTCACAATGACTTTAAGCTGCCTCAGATATGGACCAGGGATGAAAACAAGGCAACATCATGAGCATGTGGTAGGAAAAAAAGGGGCATGTTTGTGCTGTAATTAGGTGGAAGTAAGAAAGGACTTACAACTACTATCCTCACTTACGTGACATGTGAATATGATTATTTCATCTAAAGAGATGCTGGCTTTTAAAGGTTAGAAAGAAGACAGAGTCTATCATGTTTGCTGTAAGAGAATCACAATTTACTTATTATTTTTTAAATACACAAAGACTTACTGGAATGTTATCTTTGTCATATTCTCTCAAATCTTTAAGGAAATTCATGTCACCTAAAAGTTTTTTGCTAGGTCCCCAGTAGTCTAAAATCTATAAGAAAGTTAAAGAGTTATGTTAAATATTTTTTACAAAAATAATGAGAAAGAGAAAATGCAGAAGGTTTTCTAATGAATGTATAATTTGAAGGATATTCATTAAGAGGGCAAGGGGTAGCAGAAAAGAATTTGTATGGAATAAAATAATTGTCATTGACTATCTAGAGTAAGGACTGTGAATCTGCACTTCAGAAGCAAAGGCAAAAAGGTGCTTTGGAGTACACACTGGCGTGCAGCTAACACCTGTTGGCAATTCCTTAAAACAAACATGACTTTCTCAGGGTCATGTGGCAGCTGTCTGTTTCTAGGAAACAACAGAGCTGCTTTAAGGAGTTGCTGAGAGAGGCTACATAAGGGGCCTTTTGTCTTCAAATCCAAATCTTTATACAACCCTACTCTCTGCATACTATATGTATGAAAATGAATCCAACCTACATTTTTGACAAATAAGGTGATCTTCATCATTTTAATCCTCCCATGTAAACCACCAAATTAGCATATGAGATAAAGGGGTAGTTTCTGTTTGTAATAATGATGTAAAAATAGATGATAAAGAAAGATTCCACATTTTAGTGAAAAATAGGGAACAAAGAAAAAATTGAACTGAAAAATTGAAAAATCCAAGTACAATAGTCTGTTATATAAAATTGTACCTGTCAAGCAAATAGTAATCTTATTCCCTGAATCTTCTTACAAACTCCATTTCCAAGTTCCCATACATTCTTCCTATGAAGAATGTTTTGCTAATAATGTATTTGTGAAATCAACAATCCAATCTACTTTTTCCCTGAACTTTCTCATTTAATGATGAAAGCTCAATCTTCATGGATATGAAATACTGATGAAGCAACTTTACCATGCCTGCAGTTTAAAAATAATTATTTTATTTAGGTCTATGTATATGTTTCCTGTTTATGAAAATGGGTTTTGCCATTAGAAACATTTTGCTTTGCTGTCAATTACTTTACCTTGCCTCCAATTCCAGAAGGATCAGCAATTTTTTCTGGTTTTATATCCTTCATGACACAAATGGCAGCCATAACTAGTTTAACTCCAGAAGGTGGATTCTTCATTGATTTTACAATTGTAATATCTGCAGGCTAAAATATTATATGTTGTCATGTTGCAGTATAATAATATAGATTTCCAAAAATCTCATATACTTAAATAGACCTGCTACCTGTTCTTATTTGAATATATCAAGGACTAAACTTTGACCTTCTGGATGCAAAATATGTATCTAGTTTTGAGTGATGGAATACTCCTTCAATCAAACAATGCTCAGAAGAATGCTATTCCAACCAAGCCTCTCTTTTTAGGTTTCTTTCATAAACCCTCACTGTCTTTAACTTGCCTTTAGAGTGTCAAGTGCAGACAATGCTGCCTCTAGTGCTGGAATAGCCTCTGCAAGGTCACTCTCACATTCATTTTTCAGCGCCTGAGCTTCAGTTGCTTTTTCTGTAGCAAGCTCTTCATCTACTTTTACCGTTTTGCTTTTTGCTTCAACCTCAGCAGATTCCTTCTCAATGATCTAGAGAGTAAAGGTAAAATAATAAATAATTATAATGAAATAGGTACACAATAGGATAGCCGCATGCACTCCATTAGATTCATGCATTCATTTAGTAAGACAAAATAACTGTTTTGAACATAGGAATGTATATTTGAAACCAGATAAAATGTATACAAAATTTAAGTTCTGCATAAAATTAATTATTCCAGCTAGAATGACTCTTTGTAGGTTCTTGTATCAACATTTTTGAAAGTGTGTTTCTGATCAAATGTAAGCACCTCTATAAGGAAAGTACTGTACAGAGGAATATGTGCAGACATTTATTAATCTTGCTTTCATTGGGACAACCTAATTATGCTCGATATGTGTGTGTGTGTGTGTAAGTGTGATTTGAGTTTAAAAAGAGAGATTCTGCTTGGAAAAAATCATCAGTGACATCACACTTATATGTAAAGGGAACTGAGGAAGTGGCACAAAAAAACAAGAGCAGCACTCTATGGGATTTTGGACGTGGTGCTCTCAATGAGCCACCCTCTATCTCTTGACTACCAGCTGGTGCAGCTGCTGCTTTTCCAACCTGGACTGTTGTTGATATATTTACCAGTTTAAAACACAAGCATCTGGTGCTTGATTCGATATAGTTCAGACACTCGGTTACACTCTATATAATTCAGATACTCAAATACAGTACCTGAAATGCCTACCTAAGTCAACACTGACATGATTGGAAGCAATTTAACAAGATAAGAGGATGCTGTAGATGGGAAATAAGTGGTCAGTTCTCAGTTCAAGACCCACTGCTAAGAAGGATTCTGGATCTTTCTCCCTTGTTTGTAAATTGCTGATACCAGCCTTGAGTGGTGATAATGAGAGAAATCACTATTAAAACTGGATTATACCTAAAATATAAAACCTCACAATAGGCGACCGGGAAGTAAAGATGGATAGATTTTATATTCCTCTTCCCTCACCAGTGGCTGATGGGGAAAAATTCCTTGGATTCTTCATTGTACAGATTAAAATATACTAGATTAGGATACTTTGTTACAGAACCAATACATATACGGTACAGACACATACACTTATGGCATCTCAGTCTGCTGCTCATAATTGGTGTCGAACTGAGAATTAGGTTGAAGCCTCATGCAAAATAGAATCGAGATAGGTACATGCAGACAGAGTTAATATTGTTAAATACTTGATGATGAATAGTTTTCATGACAACAATTGGGACAGCTAAATTCAAGACACTGTTAATTAATAATTACTGTAATTCTTCATGGGTTTGCAACTGATCTGAAGCATTAGAAGTTGTATTTTGCCACCTGACTTTTATTTAAAAGTAACGTAAGCTAACCAGTATCATTTAGACCACTTGATTGCAAAGCAAAATCTTTAGTTTTGTCATTGACCACCACAAAATAACATCAGAATGATGAAAATTTACCAACATTTCACTATGAATAGTTTAGCCTGTAAACTATGGAAAAATAACTACAAATTAGAGATACTAACACAAAGCTATAAAATTACCATATCATTAAAATATTACTATTAGGATGATCATTCAGGTGCATACTACAATAACTACATTATCCTAAGCATCAGAAATTTTACCTTCATCATGGCTGCATTATCCACTTTTGCCTGCTCCAATTTAGGTTGTAAATCAACAAGTTCTTGCTTCATTTCACCAACCTAAAACCAATAGTGGTTGGACATGAATTGTTTAATGTACACAAACTAGAAAGAAGAAATAAACATTTATTATGTACCATTTGGACTGCAATCTTAAATACATTTATTATGGATTAAGCCCCTTTGAACCCAATGATACTTACAGTATTTCTAGGTAAACATGCCTAGAAATTTCTAGCCTGCTCCATATGTCAAATCATATACAAATGTGATTATATTTCTTGAAATAAATATATGCAATTATTGACAATAACATTTTATTTAAGAATAAAACAAACAGCATTCAGAAAGTAACCAATTAAAACAAAAGAAAAAGCTAAGATATGTAGTTGATTTTTGAAATTATGAACTAATCTCACAAGGCACAAGTGTACTTTTATTGTTGACTCACCTGAGATTCAGCAAAAGCTAGTTTGTCTAATCCATTAGTATATCTTTTTTTTGCCTTCATGACAGTATCACGATTCTGCGTCAAAAGTAGTTGGAAGGAACCAATAAGTTCAAGATAGGAAGTAGGTGTAACATAGTTATGTCGTCCCAACTGGTTCAAAAATCTGCATCAACAAAAAATCATGTTTAATTATAACCAGGATTCAAAGAAAAATATCTATTTTGTTTGATAATCAAAAATATATCCTTGTTCCTTTTCCTCTGTGTATGTATCAGTATAATTGAGATTTTTAAATCAGGAAATTAGAATTGAAAGGGCTATTGCAATACAACTGTAGTGACTCCTATAGCATTTGATAAATTGACTCCATGCTTAGAGGCCTGAATATGTGTAATTCAGCTTTTCTTTCTCATATAATTCCATCTATACAAAATGAGAACTGGTAAAACCAGACTATGCCATTATAACTCTTTCAAGGGTCATTATGAAAGTGGATTTGCCTCTAGATAGTTTCGAATTTGTTAGCTAGATCCAAGATAATCAAAAACAGAAATTCTTCTTGGTTAGGTAAAGCCACAGTCATTTTCCTCAAAGAGGCTCACTTTCATTTATCCCCCATATTCTGAAAATCTGGTAAGTGCTGAGAGAAAAGGCAAAAAAAAAAAAGAGGAAGAACAATCTAAAAAGATACACAGATGTTTTCACTCCAGCCATCATCTCTGCAGTGAATACTGTAGATACCAAAACCAGAGCTTATTCAAGGAGGTAATACATAAATAGTTAAGCTAAGCTGATTATATTGATTTTATTTGGAATTTTGCAAAGGGGATTGTTGCCTTCCCTTCACCCCCCTCGCCCCGCAATATTTTCTTTTCCCCACATTCCCTTTTATATCAAAAGATTTGGCTTAATTTATTTTCTAAGGGAATTTTTCATTAAAGCCTTCCTCTTGCACACTACTGCACAGTTATTGCTCTTGCATTTCTGTGCTGGCACATGGTTTGTTAAGTTCTGTAATTCTAGGCTTTGGGCAGAAAGACCCAAAGCACTTTCTATTTTCCTAGAGCTGAGATGAGTGGAGAAGTTCTGGATAGAACAGTCAAGGACTTCCCAGCTGGACAAAGTAAGATGTCAGGTGGTAGCCTATTGTAATTATCTTTTACTGGAAACCCTTAGAAGGGCTTCCCTTAGAAGCCAGGGAGGTTTTAAATGATCACTCCTCCCAACTTGTAACAGTTACACTCTTAGTACTACAGTCCTAATATGATGTGACTTTTCCACTTTGTGAAAACATTACAGATAGATAGATAGATAGATAGATAGATAGATAGATAGATAGATAGACAGACAGACAGACAGACAGACAGACAGACAGACAGACAGACAGACAGACAGACAGACAGACAGACAGGATCCCATTCATGCATTTCTGTTATCTAGAATGGCTATGTGTGGAGATGAGGTTGTTTATTACAACTTATTTATTTTGGGAAAATGTTATACATACTATACAATAAGATAATTCAAAGCAGGTAGAAAATGACATTACAGCTTTATTTCTGAGAATAAGTTTTAATTAGATATTACTAAATATCAGGGTTTTTAGCAATATTGTTTTATATGCTGGGATTTTTTTCCTTTCCAGTGCTTCTCTTGCATTTATATTAGAAGTGCATAAACATATATAAAAAGATAACCTTTCAGAAAGTGACAACACAGATGTATGGAAGTGTTTACAGATGGGAACAACTTCTTGACGTTCATTTTCTGTGAGCTCAAGCTTTTCCAAGAATTTAATAGCCACACGCTCAAGAGCATCTTCAGGCCATGGCTGTAAACATAAGGATATACATTTTTTCCTTACAAAGTCTCTTATTATACATTGTATTTGCTACTCTATTCCACCAACAGTTCTTCATGAAATCTGCTAATAGCATATGGGCAGAGAAATGGGAAAAGAGTCACTTTACTTCATTTCACAAAAATTCCTTTTCCTTGGATTTCACATAAAATCATATACAACATTAATGACAATTTATTCAAATAGTGAAAACATTTAACCTCTGTTTAGTTACCAACTAAGTTAAGCCCTAAACAGACCAGTCCTATACAGGACTAAATTAACATCACATAGCTGCACTGTAGAAAGCCATTTTGGTCTAGTGGTTAAGGCATCAGTCTAGAAACCAGGAGACCATGAGGAAGGAGTATTAGGTATATTTGCCACCTTGAATTATTTATAAAAATAATAAAGGTGGGATTAAAAAAATATTAATCTCAAAGAAAAATAGAGCCATGGTTTCCAGTAACCAAATCATTCCCAGATGTGTATCAGTGAGTGGCACAGCAGCTGTCAAGTTGGCTTAGCAAGATGGCACCTAAAGTCTTCCATCTCTGCAGGTTCCCTCAGGCAAGGCAAGGGGGATAACACCCATCCACCTGGCTTGTACATAACCCAAGCTATGCCAATTCTAGCCAGCAGGAAGAAAGCCACTGAGGCACAGTAGAGGCCCAAGTAACCTTCCTCCCCCCACAAGCAACAGGGCAGAGATCTTTTGGATTCCACAAAACATCCTCACACTGTCACAGTATGTTAAGTTCTCCAGCCATGTCTGGAGTAGTAAGTAGATCAGAATGGGATCCCCCTGTTCCATAATCCACATAGAATATCATGAATGACAGCAAATGAAAGAGGTTAACCCACTCTGTTTACTAGACTACATGGACAAGGTAAAAGTTGTGTGTAACAATAGTCACTATACACAACAAAATAACTTGGATCAAAGCAAGAACCATTCCCCACTATGACCAACTATCTAATATTGTATTGGAATAGAGAGATGTAATCCTGGGATACATAGCTGATAGTGGGATCTCTCTACATCATTCAGTAGTATAATGAATTATATTTCCCAGTTCCACTGGGATGCTTTAAGAGAATTCAAGGGGATTTAAAAAAAAAATCATATGTAGTGTATGAGCCTCCATTCCCAGTGACTGCTAACAGATACCAATGGAACATTCAACGCTGGATTATTCTCTATAAGAAAGAATAATTTTCAACATTCATAAAATCTAAGAGAAAATTATCAACATCTAAGAGCGTGGAAAGCAAGTGTTTATGGGTAAGAATATAGTGAGCATGGTTGACATCACTATAATTATTTGTACAAACCTGGAACCAGTCAATAGTACAACAGTTGATGAGAGATGGAAATTGTCTAAGTCGATTGCGAAAAGCATCTCCAATTGGACTGAAAGCTACCACAACATGGAGATTGTCTTTGCAACGGTTCACAAAGAAAGCAAATAAGGCCAAGGGACTGAGCTCTTCATGCTTACTGCCTGCCTGAGCTACAGCACGAACTCCCTAGAGAATAAAGCACAGAAGTGAATCAGCCAGTTCTTAAATCTAGTTTTGGAAAACAATCTGACTACTAATAGATACTGGAATGCAGTGTTTCTCAACCTTGGCGACTTGAAGACATGTGGACTTCAACTCCCAGAATTCCCCAGCCACGATGGCTGGCTAGGGAATTCTG